TCCTGCTTGCTCCAGCTCCGTGGCTGCTGGCCGCCATCTTGGTTGGGTTAATTTGCATATAGTCACTCTGATTGGCTGGTGGGCGTGGCTTAAGGCGTAGTGAAGGTACGGTCCATTTGCATGTTTGTCTTTTATTAGCTTAGATAACATTGTGATTTTTTTTTTTTTTTTGGAACTGAATTGATGTGTAGAAGGATTTGGGGAAGAATTCCAGTTTTGTGATTTTTTTAGTCTTAGTCATCAAACAGGGAATGTCTATTGAAATTTCCACTTTGCTTTAAAAAAAATTATCTTTGGGATTTTCATTATTACTTTTTTATAGGATTACAAATGCATTTCTAGGTCTTCCTTTTTGCATTAATCCAGGATCTGAGTATTTTTCACTGAAGTGCTGATACTTATCTACTCTAGCATCCTGCCAGAAAGAGAGGACCTACGAAGAGTATTTTTATATGTAATTTTCTACTTAAATATGTGTGATTACCTTGAGTTTGGTTTCTCTGCCAAGATGTATATGCTTACATGTTGTCTATTTTTCACTTTGTAGGTGGAAAAATGTTAACCAGTGAAAGAGCCCATGTTTGGTTAGGAGGAATTTCACGAAGCATATCTGAAGGAAATTTGATTGACATGGAAGCCCAAAAATCATCAAAAAATTGCAATATCACAGGTATGGGAATGTATAATTGTTGTGATGTTTTCATCCAGTACTAGCAGCTATTGCAAGTCTACCTCTGAAAAGTGCTACAAAAGATGAAAAGAATTAGAAAATTCCTAATTATCATAGAAATATTTACACTATCATTAAAAAGAGCAAAATAGTGGAGGCAACAGATTACAATTAATATTACGAGGAGGCAAAATTCATTATTAAATGAGTGGTAAATATAATACCAGTAAATATATAATGAACTTGGGGGTTGAAGACATCTCTAGAGGTTGGAGTGAGCTATGAAATCTTTATAGAGCATAAAAGAACTAAATTTATCCTTAAAGGAAAAGTAGTTTTAAGAGTTATATGTAACTGGTTTGATGAAAGTATAGAAATAGGAGAAATACAACTGTTTTTTTCAAAATGCATCTTCTAAATTTTAATATATGCCACTAATAACTTATTTCAATCAAGATAATAGTTCTATAAATATTAAAGTAAATTCTCTTTTGGCTGGCCTCTTGGCTTTCATTTTTCGCTAAAGCAGTACTAGCCACACAAAGTCCACAGAAACATTACCATTGTTTATTAAGAAATGACCAAGTCTGAATAGCTCTTAACATAAAAAGGACTTCAATATTTGTGAGATATGTAGAAATTCTTTACAGTTGATATTTGACTATTTTAATGTGTTGCTGATTCTTAAAATACTCTCTTTTCAAAGTAATGTTTTTATTTCATAGTGGTAAACCTGTTCTTTGTCATGTTAAACTTGAAAATCAAAGCTGAATGAATTCCTAATCTGATGTTTATTGTATATGAAAATTTTTAAAAATATATGTTTATTGATTTCAGAGAGGAAGAGAGAGGGAGAGAGAGATAGAAACATCAATGATGAGAGAGAATCATTTATCAGCTGCCTCCTGCACACCCCACTTTGGGGATTGAGCCCGAAACCTGGGAATGTGCCCCGACTGGGAATGGAACTGACACCTTCTGGTTCATAGGTCGACGCTCAACCACTGAGCAATGCTGGCCAGGCTTTGATGTTATTAAAATATATCAACAAAGTTGTCAGGAAATAATCTGAAAAAATGCATTGTCTATTTGGCTTATTATTTTTAAGTTATTTTAATTATTAACTGATACATTTGATATTTTTCACATATTGAGTATTATCAGAAAAGAAAAAAATTAATGAATAATCTAGATATTTTGAGACCAACTATGTAATGTTTAGAAAAAAATCTGGGTAATTGACTAAATTATTCTGTTTGTTCAGAGGTTTTCTTTTGTGAAAGTCAAACACAAAACTATAAGGCATAAGTATATCTAATCTGGGTCCTTTTGAAGGAAGTGTGTTAAATTGATATCTAAATTGTTAAACATTTATTTATTTATAAATCATTATGTCTTAAGATAAAATAGCATGACATATGGTCAAAATGAACTGGTAGAACTAGTTCCATTTCCTCACAGCATGAAAAATTATCCAAATTTAACATTAATTTTGCAGTTCCTATTATACTGTCAATAAAAAAGCAAAATAAAAAGTCTTGAATTTTTAATAAAAATTAATCTTGGTTGTATCTCACAATGACACTCACTTCTGTTTTTTCTTTGTTTTTGCTAAAATGCCACAAATGTCCAGACTCAAGTTTACTTCTCAATTGGCCAGATGCTTTCACACTTCACAGCAATAATGTTTCCAAAGCTACAAATCCATTCTGGAATGAACTGTCTGCTTCTAACCCATTTTTGGATGATATAACTCAGCTAAGAAATAACCAGAAGAAAAATAATATTTCCATCTTGAAGGAAGATCCTTTTCTTTTTTTAAGAGAAATTGAAACTGGAAATTCTTTGGATTCCTCTGGTGATGAACTTGATGTGCATCAATTGTGTAGGCAGTCTTACTCAAGGAAATCAGTGAGATCTAAAAGTGTTTCAGAACTTTTGGACATATTAGATGACACAGCACATGCCCATCAGAATATACGTAACTCTGACCAGATCCTGGAACACGACTTAGAATGGCTTCAAAATGATCGAGAGGCTTATAAAATGGCTTGGTTAAGTCAACGCCAGCTGGCCCGCTCCTGCCTGGATTTGAATATCATTAATCAGAGTCCTGGATGGGCCCAAACACAAGTTGCGGAGACTGTGGTAGTTTGTAAATTAAACCACCAAGGAGGGTCAGTACAATTACCTGAATCAGATATCACTGTTCATGTGCCCCAAGGTCATGTAGCTGTGGGTGAATTCCAAGAGGTATCGCTAAGGGTTTTTCTTGATCCTCCACAAATGCTTAATCATGATCTTTCATGCACTGTAAGCCCACTGTTGGAAATCACGTTAGGCAACCTTAACACAATGGAAGCCATTTTGCTGGAGATGAAAATCGGGGCTGAAGTGAGAAAGGATCCTTTCAGCCAAGTCATGACAGAAATGGTGTGTTTACACAGCCCGAATAAAGAAGGCCCTTTCACAGTGTTAAACAACTGCTACATTTATAAAGACACCATCCAAGTCAAGCTAATAGATTTGAGTCAGGTGATGTATCTAGTGGTTGCTGCACAAGCTAAAGCTACTCAGTCACCAGCTGCCACCATCTGGGATTATATCCACAAAACCACCTCAGTTGGAATTTATGGGCCCAAATATATCCATCCCAGTTTCACTACTGTTTTCACAGTTTGTGGACACAGTTATATGCCGGGAAAGCTTACAATCTCTGATATTAAGAAGGGTGGAAAAAACACCTCTCCAGTTGTGTTTCAGCTCTGGGGGAAGCATTCATTCTTACTTGACAAGCCACAAGATTTAAGTATTTCTGTTTTTTCATGTGATCCTGGTTTTGAAGTAAAGACAGAAGGAGAAAGAAGAGAACTTAAACAAAAGCAGTTGCAAGCAAGTCAAGTAGTTCATCAACAATTTTTATTTTCTTTAGTTGACTCCAGAAAAATGCACTTGTTTGTTTTCCAGGTTCAGTTGGGGCCTCCCAATGGTAGACCAGTGACACAGTTTTTTATCACTACACCTGATCCAGCCCCAAACCTAAAAAGACACTTAAATCTGCCAGGTAATTTGCAGAAAGAGAAGGAAATCAAGTCTGCTCCTTCATTACCAGCAGTGTATGTTAAATACCCTACATTTCAAGACAAAAAATTAAACTTTACCAAATATGGAGTGACTCTGAAGACAGTGCTAAGACAAAACAAGATTGACTACTTACTTGAATATATCAAAGGGGACACAATAGCTCTTCTTGGAGAAGGTAAGGTAAAAGCCATTGGGCAGTCCAGAGTGAAAGAATGGTATGTGGGAGTCCTGCGAGGTAAGATTGGACTTGTACACTGCAAAAATGTCAAGGTGATTGCAAAAGAGCAAGTAATATCAATGTCAGATCGTGTCTTCACAACCAGGAACCTTCTTGAACAAATTGTCCTGCCCTTTAAAAAACTGACTTATATCTACTCAGTTATATTGACTTTGGTGTCAGAAAAAGTTTATGATTGGAAAGTTTTAGCTGATGTCCTGGGTTACTCACATCTGGCACTGGAAGGTTTTGAACGAACACATGCAGACAAAGAATCAGAAAAAGTTTCTTATGTTTTAAAGAAGTTAAAGGAAGATTGCCACGGAGACAAGAATACCAGAAAGTTTCTTTATGAGCTTGTTGTGGTGAGTATTGCTTGATCACAGTAATTAATTTACCATAGAAAACTTTATTAACTTGGTGATATTTATAACCAAACATATGAGAGAAGGAGATAAAAAATTCTTAGCATTCTCAAATAATTTGAAGTCAATTTACAGTATATATATATGTATATATATATATAGCTTTTCCTGCAAGACCATATAATTAGTTTCTTAGATCCAGAAACTAGTCCCATAGGATCATCTTTTAAAGGAAGATTAAAGTTTCTGTTTGTGCTAGAGCATAATAGTTAAGAGATTCTTTTTCTCTCCCAAATATTTGAATAACTCTTAAAATATCAGAAATTCCAATTACATGAATGAGAGCAAACTGAAACAAAACTAATTAACTTGGCCTTTGCTATAGGTCTGCTTTTTAGTGGTTTTTAAAAAACATATAATCAATGTCCTTTACTTTAGCAATTTAATAGTCTTCTTCTGTATGTGATTCATCATAATGCCAAAATAATATTGCTTATTCTCTTCTTAATCCTCATGTTTTAGTAGAACTCACAGGATCATTTTTTCCCCCTCATAATATTCAACCTAGTATAAGGCTCAGTGGAGAGTTATAAAGAAGATGATCAACTATTTTGCCTTAAAAAGAAAATTTGGTATTTTATAAAAATAAAAAAAATCAAGGGCATACTTCTAAAAATTTCTAAAATGTGAATGTATAAATAATAATAAAAGCCTAATATGCTAAGTGTCTGGTCATCCGGTCATCTGTTCAACCAATCAAAGCATAATATGCTAATGATATGCTAAGGCCGCTCAACCACTGGCTATGACGTGCACTGACCACCAGGGGGCAGACACTCCAACCTCTAGGGGTCCAGCTGACGGGACTAAACTAGACAGGCTGGACATGCCCTGGAGCCCTCCCGTGGTCCCTCCCTGGCTGGCTAACCTCCCACGTCCCTTCCTGGCCCCAATCGTGCACCAGTGGAGTCCCCTCGGCCTGGCCTGTGCCCTTTCACAATCCGGGACCCCTTGGGGGATGTTGGAGAGGAGTTTATTCAATGACATTAACAATAATTTATGTAATAAAGAAATAGGAATATTTAAAATATTTCTTCTCTTTCAATTATTTTGATGATTCTACAGTAATACTGAAAGGGTTAAATTTTAAAAGCCCCCTATGCAGTTGAATGTATAGTTTTATGGTGATGTGCTGCAGTATCACTTAATCTGGGACATTTAGAGTCATTGGCTGATCTACAAGGTCAAAGCTGCACATATATTTTGCAGTAGCTCATTATCTCTCATAGCTCATGTACTGCATGAAGATTTGAATTGAAAATTGCTTTGTTGAACTTAGTGGCAAAAAATGTAATATTGGCCAAATGGTCTGAAAGTTTAAACCTGACTGTGTCGATGTATGATCATGAGTAGCTCTGGTGATAAACTAGACAGTGCTGGTGGAGGGCTTATTCAAGGATGTAGTGGCTAAAAACTCCCAGGGTGTCCCAGGGGAGGCTTCAGGATTTCCAAATGTAAGGGGCTTAGGTGTGGTTGTCTGACCAGAGATGATGGAAAATATGGTATAGAGGCCACCTCTTGAAACTTAATTTGCAAATAAGTATACATTTTTCTTGGATTGTATCTTAATTTGGGGTAGCTGGATTGGAGCTGATAAAAATTGTGGGTTCTAAACTCTTTAGTCATCTCTAGACATTGAGACTGACTGTCCTTATATACTTGAAACTTGATACTCTACAAAGTACTTGAGTACCTGATTCAACTTTCATAATGATTATAGGAAATTAGATGGGGTGTTATTAATGCTGTATTTATTTTTAAAATCATTAAATAGAGATACTTTTGAGATTTACCTAAAGTCCTGTACTATGTGGAGCTGGTCTTTAAACTCGGGTTTTGCATTCTAAGTGCAGATTTTTCCCCCTTGAAACAAGAAACTGAGATAAGCATTGCTAATCCCACTCCTCAGTTTAGTAAAAGAACCTTAGGGTCCTGATGGCTCAGTACTACTTCTCCCTGTAGTTATAAATCCTCACTATAAATGTATGGACTATGTACTAGTATAAAGACCATGGGTAGTCCTTCTAATGGTTCCATGGGAAAGAACCATCTGTGACCTTACTTGGTCATTCATTTTTACTTATTGTTTCATAATGATAGACAATGTTTTTAAGTGCAATTAAATGATGAGGGGCCACCCAACATTTTTTTTTTTTTGCTTATTTGAACAAAAAAGAAATGTAGATAGATTTAATCCCATATTTTAAAAATATATTCAAGGCAAAAAAGAAACTCATGGACTTGTTTGAAATGTGTAATGATTGACAAGGCTTAGATGCCTAATTAAGGAAGGAAGAGTCTGATGATATTCCATTTTGCATTATAGAAGACTGAATGTTTTATCTTTAATACCTTGTGGTTTATATTAGGCACAATTACACTAGTGATGAAGGGAGAGGGATAATTTTTTTAAAGTTATTATTATCAATAGCTTTGTTCAAAGTTGTGGTAGTGTCTCATTTACATGCAATGGCAGAATTCTGTGAATTTTAAATCACATTTTGATGAAGAATAGAATGTTTATTGGCACCAATGTGCTCGCTCCTCAGAGAAATACTGTAGTCAATCCTCTGATAAGGAAAGGGATTATTTTTTGAAGAGTGAATTATCATTCCTGAATTGATCAATTATAGACCCTTAGGACCTCAGGATGTCTTTAGAAGTGTCTAGTCCAACATCCTCCTTTTGCAGTTAAAGATATTAAGAAACATATTAGTTAAGTGGTTTACCCAAGGCCCTATATTTAGCCACTGAGTTAGTCCTAAATCTCCTCTAATTTTGGTCCAGCTGTGTCCTCTGTACTTTGCTGGTTGGATTTGCTTAAAAGTAAATCAACTTTTTAAAATTTAGGAAACTCAAAAATATGTGTGGTGAAAAATAGGATGCCAGTTTCTAGATTATGTAATGAAAAATTGAATTTCTAGGGAAAAGCCCACATTAGTTGCTTTTAATTGTGGCATGTAATTCTTGCTGCAGGCCCTGCTGAAGATGGATTGCCAAGGGATAGTAGCGCATATCATCCAAGAGGCTGCGCTCCTGACTTCAGCTGTCAAGCTGGGAAAAGGCTGGAGGGAACTAGCTCAAAAGCTAGTACGATTCACAAAGCAGCAAGTGGAGGCATATGAAATTCCTCACCGAGGAAAAGCTGGAGCTGTTGCTGTGGAGGTAATATTTCCGTTTGTCTACTTCAATAGTGAAAAGTTGCAGACCAAGTAAACCAAATGTAATCAATCCTGAACCACTTACATAGATAAATTGGGGTTCTGTTCTAGAGGACCCCTAACTGAAGTCACAGTCCCTATAATCATTGATATTTTCTGAAATATGCACATATCACTCTTTAAAGGCCTTTAAAATATGCATTGAGAGCCTGTAAAATATATTGATACTTATCTTATTGGATTGCATATTAACATGGTCTTTAATCAAATGAATTGACCAAATTGGATAGCTAGTCAGTTATTAGGCAAGCCTAGAAGAATTTGAGACAGAGAACACATAATTTTGAAGGGAGGAGATTGGACCCAGTCAGGGCAAGGGAAAATTATACAATAATAAGTATTTATCAACGTTAGGCAGAGACTTAGTAATTTGTGATAAATAGTATTTGGTGACAATAAGCATTAAGAGGGTGGATGGTAATGATAAACAAAGATCTCTAAGAGCTTCATTGTCTCTTTGACAATTTTGTGTATAATAGAAACTATAGACATCAAATATAGAATGACAGCACATAACACAAAGTAATATTTATCTTGCAAATATTAAATAAAATTTAATTTTTATTAATATTAAATGTATACTGTTAGGCATAAGTTAGATACATATTTGCTCTATTTAGCAAATAATTTGTGATAATTTTTATGACTTAAATAAAAATATTCCAGTGATGAGCACCTATAAAATGTTCTGTATTTTTCTCTCACATGAGTGTAAGCATTTTCAAGATACGTATTTCAGTTAAGGGAAGATTATCTCTCTTATTAGTGATGACTTGTTAAGAGGCAGAAGCTGTGTTCTCCACTTCCTTTTGGGGCATCGAGCTGGAAATTAATAGAGCTGGAGAAAATTTTCTTACTTTGAAGCAACTATGCCAGCTGGGTGTGCAGGACAAAACAACCTTTCCATGAAGGGACAAGAGTCAAATCAAGTCAGTTGAATCCCAGCATGTGCAGTGGAGGTCTCAGCAGGATGGCTTCTGGGAACCTAGGGCCTACCTCTCCTTTAAACAAGACCTTTCAGCCAAGAGTAGCTGGAGGCTGACGTATTTCCTCCTCTTAGACTACATTTATCTCTGTACCCTAAGAAGTGCCTTACAACTTACAAATCACTTTTTACTGAATGAGCTAAAAGATGAGGAATTTATAAGAAACAAGAACAACAACACTTAGGGGGATATGCTGCTCTGATATTTCAGTTAACTGATGAGAAAGTTGTCTAATTGAGATATCACTGCACACCTATTCTAACTGACAAATCCAGAACACTAATAACACCAAATGCTATTGAGGATATGGAGCAACAGGAATCCTCATTCGTTGCTGGTGAGAATGCAAAATGGTACAGCCACTTTGGAAGGGACTTTGGCTGTTTCTTACAAATGAAACATACTCTTACCATATTTTCTATTTGTGCTCCTTGGTATTTACCCAAAGGCATTGAAAACATGTCTACACGAAAACCTGCACAGGAATGTGTATAACAACTTTATTTATAATTACCAAAATTTAGCCCTAGCTGATTTGGCTCAGTGGATAGAGCATTGGCCTGCAGACCAAAGGGTCTCGGGTTAGATTCTGGTCAAGGGCGTATACCTCAGGTTGCTAGCTCCTTCCCAGCCCAGGCCCTGGTTGGGGCGGCACATGCAGGAGACAACCAATTGATGTGTTTCTCTCACATCGATATTTCTCTCTGTCTTTCCCTCTCTAAAAATCAATGAAAAAATACCCTTGGGTGAGGGTTGAATATATATATGCATTTACCAAAATTTAGAAGCAACCAAGATGCCTTCAGTAGGTGAATGGATAAAATGAACTTGGAATATTATTAAGCACTAAAATGAAACAAGTTATCCATGAAAAGACATGGAGGAACCTTGAATGCATGTTACTAAGCAAAATAAGCCAACCTGAAAAGGCTACATGCTGTATGATTCCAAATATATGACATTCTAGAAAAGGCAAAACTATGAAGACAGTAAAAAGATCAGTGGTTGCCAGGGATTGGGAGGGAGGAATGAATAGGAAGAGCACATGATTTTTTGGGCAGTGATACTATAATGATGGATATATGTCACTATACAGTTGTCCAAATCCATAGAATGCACAATACCAAGAGTAAATCCTAATGTAAACTACGGACTTCGGGTGATTGTGCTGTATCATTGTAGATTCATCAATTGTAACAAATATACCACCTCTGGGGAGAGTTATTGATAAAAGGGAGGCTATGCCTATGAGGGGCAGGAAGTATATGGGAAATCTTTGCACCTTCCTCTCACTTTTTCTTTAAACCTAAAAGGTCTCTAAAAAATCTTTTTAAAAATTGTCTAATTGAAAGCAGGAATTTTTTTCTTAATAAGTCTCTGTTTTTAAAAAGGTTTTGTTGAAAGTTATTTATCGGAGTTATTTATTCTCTCAGCTTTGTTAAGCATCTGAATTCTCTCTAATTATGGTTGTTTATAGTTTGTCTTTCCCCAAATCTTGATGGAGGCCAAACAGCCTACTTTTCCATTATTTACATTTGCACAGCCCGAATCCCAAATAACTAAGTCTATGCCAAAGTTAATAAATTCTCAGAAGCAGAAAGGAAAGCCCCTAGGTGTCTTTTGAGGGACTAATGTTTAATTTATTGTGATTAATACTAACCATCATCATTCTGATCCAGGTTATTAAATTCTTAAAAATAATCCATAGTATATTGGCCTAAACCACCCCAAATAATATGTGGGAATCTTTACCTGTTAGGCCACTTAAACTAAAGAGTAAATCTATGCTAATTTCCATCCCCCTGGAAAAAACATGGCTGCATAATTTTTTCTCTCAGGAAGGAGATGATTCTTAAATAGGATCAATTTACAAGTCAAGTAGTTGATTTGAAAACAGACTGATAGTAGTTCTGGTTAGGGGACTCAGAGGAAGGAAAGTGGAATTGGGCTGGGGAGATAATAAGGTCTCTTATTTCCTTTATCTCACCACTTCAGAGGGCACACATTCCGAAAATTTCCAATGCCTACAGTCCGACTCTCTCACTCACTTTCCTTTCTCTTCAACTTCTCTTTTTCCCTTTGTTCTATTTTTATTGTATCTGACATTTATCTAGCACTTACTCTGTGCCAGGCACTGTTCTGGTCACATTTCAAAGATAAACTTAATCCTTTGAACAAAAACTTGTGGGTCGGCACTAATATTATCTAAAATGTAGGGAGGCTGCTACTTGCTTAAAAGCATGCGTAGTGAGAAACTTATGGAACCATGTTTAGAGAGCAGGCCTTTGACTTTGGGGTCCTTGTGCTTTACACTCTGCCCACCCACTCCCAATCCAGTGTGGTGGCTGAATGACAGAGCTGGTAGATGTGGTTAGGATGGGGGCTTTAAGCATCTCATTTCACCTTTTTTCTTCTTTTTTCAAGTTATGATACTACTAAAATTTGCCTGAACATCTTCATCAAGCCTCAGGCCAATTAAAGAATGGAGATCATTAATAGTATGTCTGTTAGATTTTTGTTGAGTATTTTGGCCATTTCTTACTCTTTTATAAGATGGGGGGGGAAAGCCTCTCTCTGGGGACTTCTGAGAAGGTCACTTTTTAAATTAATCATCTCCCTAAATTAAATTTTAATAAATATTACTCAATTTTTCTAATGACATTGCAATTCCTACATAAAAACAGAACTATAAAACTTGAAATATGACTGTTAGACACTTATGCTATGCAAAGATGTTTAATTGTTGCCAAGGTTTTCCTGTGAAAGTTAGTAAAAATTGGAGTTTTTCTGAAGATATTTAAATCTTCCATTTAAACAAAATAGGAATCAATAAAATATCAGAAAAATAGCACATTTTTAAAAACAGTTGGGTTTTACAAGGGGCAATGCTGGGGATTTCAAAGATAAGATATTCACAGGCCTAAATTAGGTGCTCTTCACTTAGCCCTCTGGGGATTATGACCATATCCTAGCAATGCTCTCCCATTGGCCCCCTGCCTAAGAATAGATTATGCTCTTTCCATCTTATTCAGTATGGACACTTATTCACCAAGGACACTAAAAGTTCACTTCCACCTTTAAGATACCTTTTTACCAATGCTCGCCTCAACCACAGGCACCCATCAGTTGAGGCTGATTTCTTATCTGACCTGCCAGAGTGGGCCACCCTCCCTACGGAAGCCCAACACAGTCAATATTTCTAATTATAATAGTTTTTTTCCTTCTCAGAAGCCACTCACCTATAGATTTAGAACTGGCAAGGTATGTTTATGTCTTTTTGTGGTCAACACTTAAACAGGGAGGATCTAATTCTCTGTTTTATCTTCTAGCCGGAATCTGTCCTTCCTCATTTATGACTGGCTTCTGTAGTGTTCAGAACCCTTTATTCTAAGTCCAGATAAGACATGGGAGAGTAGGTCAACCTCAAATAGCTAATTTTATTAATTGTTTAATAAGTTTAAAAAAAATTCTATATGGAATTCCTCCTGCTTGTTTAGTATTTTTCCCCTCTGTATATTTTCTCTTAGTATTTAATTCAACCATACTTAACACATCCCCAGGGACTTCAGTTCTCAGCATTGGAGCATTAGGAGCTAAAGAAAACACAACAATGAAAAATATGATTTTTCTCTCTAAAGCCAAATTTTATTTGGCCTGGGAATTGTGATAAACTGTTATATTTGAATTGTTATATTTTAAAGAAGTATATGGTTAGATGCTTTAAAAACTGAAACTAAGAATAAGAATGATAATAATTGTGCAATTTATTGTATATGAACTGAGTGTATGAACATTTTCTTTACAATATCATTTATTTCAACAAACTTTCTAAGGAAGACATTATACCATCTGCTTTTTATAGGAATGCAAACTAAGAGAATGAATTTGTGTAAGTTATTCAGAGTAACATGGGTCTTAAGTGACAGAATGAGGATTCAAACTCGGGTATTTTATGCAC